CAGAGAAGATACGCGAGCCTAACAGAAGAGCTAGGTAATGAAACTAAACACTAAGTGCCCAGCCAAATGACCAAGGAGCTCATCCCCAGTTTTGTCAATGCTGAAGCCTTGTTTATGACCATAGAAATGGTTCTTCGCAGAATAAGCTCCGGAGGCGTAATTTCTCCTTTGTGAACACGTTATACGTCTATTCCGCTCCTTCCAAATTTCATATATGCAGGCTTACACTTCGCAGATTGGTGCTGATAATGGTTTCTTATTATTTCAAAACTACATTGAAAAAGCATATAATTTGGTTACACTATTATTTTATCCATGACGAGTTATTCAATAATATTGGTTGATTACGCCGAATGTAAAAATAATATTTTGATGAAAAACATGTAAAACTCTAACGACGTTTTAATAACTTTGTTCATTAAAATAAATGAAATTTGGGGATTATCGGCTTAATTCACACCTCGTGGGTTTTTGTTAAGGCAAAAAAGAAAACCATTAACACTAGTAATATAAGAGGAGAGTCGAGAGAAGAGGGTTTTTGTTGAAAGCGCTTAAATCGTCTCTCTCGCTTTTGTCGTAGGCAAGGCAGGCATCAGGCGGTGCCGAAAAGGGTTTCCTTTTCGTCTTCTCATCGCCGTGCCCTACTAAACCATTCTTCATCTCTCCAGCTACATTCTGCTCCACAACATGACCACCAACGAAGCTTCCCCTGGTAATTACCCTTTCGTCTTCATCTTATCTGATTGAATTTTGTTGATGGGTTTCCTTCTTTAAAGCATATACTGCTTTTCGCTCTTGATTCTCAGTTTCGATTAGTTCCAATGTATCTTCCCTTGTGGGTTTCGGTTCCAGTGTCCTTTTCCGTGCGTTTTAGCTTAGATCTCTATTGGAAAAGCTTTCGGATTTCACAATTTTCCTCCTTTGTTTCCATTGAGGTCGGAAAGTTTTTGTTTTGGTTCTTCTTCAGTCTGTGATTGGGCATTTATGAATTTGCCTTTACTCTTTTGAGATGAGATTGTGATTTTATTGGTTTAGTTTACAGAAATATTGAACCTTGGTTATAATTTAGATAGAGTTGGTTGTCTCTTCCTTTTTGGGTTTCTGGCAGTATACTTATTGACTGTTTGTCTTAAGCATAGTTACATAATCTGATAGGTTAGTTTGAGTTACTGGTATGTCTGATTTTCTAGCCAGACTATGATCTTTGACCTCATATGAAGTTTTGTATGCTCTCAGGTGTTTCAAATTGCTATGTGTTCAAAAGCCGATTGCAGGAGTATGCACAGAAATTGAAGCTCCCAACGCCTGTGTATGAGACTATCAAAGAAGGCCCTCCTCACAAATCTTTCTTTCAATCCACTGTAATAGTGGATGGTGTCAGATATGATTCGTTGCCTGGATTCTTCAATCGTAAGGCTGCAGAGCAGTCTGCTGCGGAGGTTGCTCTCCAGGAATTAGCAAAATCCAGTGACCAAGGCCAATGTGCTTCACAACCTGTTGTAAGCACCTCATTCTCTTAAGTCTAGTGCAGGAATATTGTAACCATCTTAGGGGTTTAGTAGTTAATTGTAGCTTTGTCAGCTCAGCAACAAACCTTACGGTTAGTTAAGGAGCTGAAGCTTTAAAAGGGTGCTTATAAGAATGTGTGTTAGGGGGCATTCTGGAGTTGTATAGAGTCATAGTTTAGGCAATAATTGAGGCTCGAGAGTTTAACGACTCCATTCATTGATCAAGTCTCTTCCAGGGTGTAGTTCTTGGTTAATTGAATTAAGGAGTTTACTGGTTTCATTCTTTTCAGATTTATGCGGTATAGCCAACATTTTCAAGGGTAGATTATTAGGCTCTTTCTGTATGTTATTTATGCGCATAGCTAACTTTGAGTCGCTTATTAATGCAGCACGAAATGGGGTTATGCAAGAATCTTCTTCAAGAGTATGCTCAAAAGATGAATTATGCGATTCCGCTGTATCAGTGCAAAATGAAAGGAACTCTGGGGAGAACTCCTCAATACACATGTACTGTAGAGATTGGAGGCATAAAGTACACAGGAGCTGCAGCGAGAACCAAAAGAGATGCTGAGATAAGTGCTGGGAGAACCGCTCTTATAGCGATCCAGTCAGAATCTAACATTGACCTCTTCAACTGTAACACTCAGCTTACTGTAGTTCCTTGCGAGAAGAGGACATTAGAGGTAGCGCACCCGGTTGAAAAAACCACCAAGGCTCCAAAAGCTAAGAGGGGTAAGTTTAAGAGGAAGGCTCGGAAGGGAAAGCGCAAAGTAGCTACGGGTGTTGAAGGTATTATCAACCCTCCTCAACCTAGCGATCATTGTCAAAACGATCAGTCTCCTACCAAGCATTGTCAAAACGACCAGTCTCCTACCAAGCATTGTCAAAACGACCAGTCAGAGAATACTGAGATAACACAAAATCTGGAACCTTCTTCGTGCATGAATGGGCTTAAGGAGGTAGCATTTGGGAGTGTGGAGACAGAAGCAAGCCAAGCATAAGTTTCTCAAGATATGGGTCTTTTGTGAGTTTGTGATTGTAGTCGGTTATGTAGCCATTTTGTGCTTTCTATTTAGTGTTGAAGAGAGGTAATATATAAACGGAAAACCAAAACATAAACATATATTAGGTCTGTTGTGTTATTAAAAAATCAAGACAAAGATTTATATCAGTGATTATTTGTTTTTGTATTAAGAAACATGAGCTTGCTTAGGCCAAGAGCTCAAGTTTCAGTTTCATCTTACAAGCACTAACACTGCTCTTACTCTGTAAGCACTAACACTGCTCTTACTCTATAAGCACTAAGTAAATAGAAGAAGAAGAAAAGGTTTTGGTTCAAATGGGTATGTGAAAATGAGCCCAATATTCTGACCCAACAGGCCCATTTGAGAAAACCTAATTTCAGAAGATATATAACCAAACACTGCCTCACTAGTTCCGTTTCTTCGACGGTTTCTAGGGTTTTACTTGTCGCGTCCACCAGAGAGGAGGAAAAATGCCGGCTGGTCATGGAGTTCGTGCGAGAACGAGGGATCTGTTCGCGAGGCCTTTCAGGAAGAAGGGTTACATTCCACTCTCGACCTACCTCAGGACCTTCAAGGTCGGCGATTACGTCGATGTTAAGGTGAACGGTGCGATCCACAAGGGTATGCCTCACAAGTTCTACCATGGACGTACTGGTCGTATCTGGAACGTTACCAAGCGTGCCGTCGGTGTCGAGGTCAACAAACAGGTCTGAACAAGTCTCATCTCTGATTAACTTTTTATCTGTCGGATTAGGAATTGAGCTTATTGTGGTATTTGGATTGTTGATCTGTTCATTTTTATGGTGAAATGTGGTATTGAGTATTGGTTCGTAGAGTGTAAATCTCATCCTTTGATAGAGTTGGATTCAGGTCTGTAGGTCTTTGGTTCTCTGTATTGAAATTAAATTTCTACTATGCAATAGTGTGGTTATTGATCCATTTTCAGATTCTTGATCCATTGCTTAGGTTTTGTTATATTCTTCAGCCTTAACATGCATTTTGTTGCATAAAATTGGCAGCAAAAGTGTTTCTAAGTGACATTCATCTGATTTCCTTGATTGAATAGTTTGATTCTTGTTCATTAAACTGCCTTGTATGCTTGGTTTCATGACTTTCTCACTGATGTAGTTTGTCTCATTTATATACTCTTATGTCGTAATTAGGACTATCATATTGACAATACCACAAACCCTTTCTCTGCAAGTGCGTATCTTGTGTTACATGACTGACATAAGTTTGTGGTTGTTTTAGATTGGCAACAGGATCATAAGGAAGAGAATCCATGTGCGTGTGGAGCATGTGCAGCAATCAAGGTGTGCAGAGGAGTTCAAGCTTAGGAAGAAGAAGAACGATGAGCTCAAGACTGCAGCCAAAGCCAGAGGTGAGATCATAAGCACCAAGAGACAGCCTAAAGGACCCAAACCAGGATTCATGGTCGAAGGTATGACCTTGGAGACCGTCACACCAATCCCTTACGACGTCGTCAACGATCTCAAGGGAGGCTACTAGTTCTACTACCATTTTCCCAGTGTTTTTGCAGTTTCTTCTTCGCGTATCTGAGTTTCTCTTCATGTAACTTAGCTACAATGCCTGTAGTGACTCTATAACTCATCATTTTCCTCATCTCTTTCTTTTGCAACCTTTTCAATACATTTAAGATTTACCATCTTTATTTAGTTATAATCAAACGTTTTCTTTTGTGTATTTCTCAAGATTAAAAGCACATCTGATGCCCAAGCTTTCGAAACATAATTAATGCATTGAACCGGAAAATCAAACAATAACCGCAATGGACCGGCTAATTAGAAACTCGGTTACTTAAAAAGCCGGTTTTGCGAGTGTATTGTCGCCGTTTATTAGTGACTGTTTTCATTTTTCACTCAAAAGTCTCTGGAAATAGCCGGCGCCGGAAAAAACTGAGAGTTAGAGATGTTCAGAATCGGAATTCTAAGAAGCTCACTCTCTCGATCTCACCCGCAAATTTATTCTCGTACATCGTCTCTCTTATCGACATGGTACTCTCCAGAATCTATCTCACAGCAACAAACGAACCACGACGATGACCCAGTTCTCGTTAAACTCTCAGTTGCCATAAGAGATTCTTACAAGGATCCGAAATTGGAGTCTTTTACTGCTTGTCCATCTATCAGGAAGGTCCTGCCTTCGCTTAGCGTTCGTCATGTTATCGATCTCATCAACCGAAATCCTCTATCTCTCCCACACCGTTTTATCTTCGCATTCTTCAAATTCGTCTCATCTCAGCCTGGATTTCGGTTTACGGTTGAGTCCTACTTCGTCATGGCTCGTTTTCTTGCCGTTCACGAAATGTTCGCTGAAGCACAGTCGCTTATCGGACTCGTCGTCTCTCGTAAAGGGAAAAACTCGGCTTCTTCCGTTTTCGTTGCTTTGTTGGAAATGAAGGGAACTTCTATGTGTGAGTTCCTTGTTGATGCTTTGATGATTACGTACATGGATCTAGGATTCATACCCGATGCTATTCAATGTTTCAGGCTAACTCGGAAGCATAAATTTGTTGTTCCGATTCGTGGCTGTGGTAATTTGCTTGATCGGATGATGAAGGTGAATCCAACTGGGATTGTTTGGGGATTCTATATGGAGATTTTGGATGCTGGGTATCCTTCGAATGTGTACGTTTTCAATATTTTGATGAACAAGTTTTGTAAAGAAGGCAAAATATGTGATGCACAGAAAGTGTTCGACGAAATAACTAAAAGGGGTTTGCGGCCTACAGTGGTTAGTTTCAACACTTTGATTAATGGGTATTGTAAGGCTGGAAACTTAGATGAAGGGTTTAGGCTCAAACATCATATGGAGAAAAGCAGAACGCGCCCCGATGTTTTCACGTATAGTGCCTTGATTAATGCACTGTGTAAGGAGAACAAAATGGACGAAGCACATGGGCTATTTGATGAGATGTGTGAGAGAGGGTTGATACCAAATGATGTTATTTTCACTACTTTGATTCATGGTCATAGTAGAAATGGACAGATTGACTTGATGAAAGAAAGTTACGAGAAGATGTTAATTAGAGGTCTTCGGCCTGATATTGTTCTGTATAATACTTTAGTAAATGGCTTTTGCAAGAATGGGGATTTAGTGGCTGCAAGGAATATTGTTGATGGAATGATCCACAGAGGTCTTAGGCCTGACAAAGTTACATACACAACTCTTATAGACGGATATTGTAGAGGAGGAGATGTAGAAGCAGCTTTGGAGATAAGGAAGGAAATGGATCAGAATGGGATAGAACTTGATAGGGTGTGTTTCTCAGCTCTTATCTGTGGAATGTGCAAAGAAGGTAGAGTGATTGATGCTGAAAGAGCTTTGAGAGAGATGCTGCGAGCTGGTATGAAGCCGGATGATGTAACCTATACAATGCTGATGGATGCATTCTGTAAGAAAGGTGATGTTCAAACGGGATTCAAATTGCTCAAGGAAATGCAGAGCGATGGGCATGTTCCTATCGTTGTGACGTATAATGTTCTTCTGAACGGTCTGTGCAAATTGGGACAGATGAAGAATGCTGACACGCTACTAGATGCCATGCTTAATATAGGGGTTGTTCCGGACGACATCACATTCAACATCCTATTGGAAGGTCACCATAGATATGCTAATGCATCGAAGCATTATAAACAGAAACCTGAGATAGGGATTGTAGCTGATTTGGACTCTTACAAATCACTAGTCAATGAGCTCTATAGAGCTTCAAAAGATCACCGGAAGAGATAACATCGGACCGTTTGTTCACACCAGAGGTCGTTTTCTTCATCATAGGTAATAAATATAACTTTCACTGTATCATTATAATTTCACTCCTTGATTATCTTTGTTGCCAATCAGAATATTAATACAAAGATGAAAGAAGTACACAAACTACGAACAGGCCCAAGTCTTCTTTGGTCATTGGGCTAGTTGCCAGAATAACTTAACTCCTTTATTCAGAGTCAAGGCTTAATAAATAAATATCTAAACTAACGGGGACAAAAATGTCCAGCCAGATTCGCATATTTTGTTAAAATAAAAATAAAAAAGGTTCCTCCTCTCATTTTTGTGCAATCAGAGAGGCGAGAAGAAAAATCATCGCCATGGGACAAGTCTTTGATAAGCTCCGAGGTTAACTATCTCCCTTTCCTAATCTGTATTTGATTAATCATGAAATTGGTTGTTATGAAATGTGAAATATGGAATCGCAATGGTAATTACAGGTAAGCAGTGGAGGCAGAAGCAAGTAGAGGAGATATGCGATCGTATTTTCGATCGCTTCAAGCTTCAAACCGGAAGAGCCAATCTTACCTTTGAAGAGCTATACATTGCGGTGCTACTCGTCTATAAGTAAGATATTTTTACAGTATTTTGGCTCTTTTACAGATTCGGAAATTCAATTTCTCATATCGGGATTTCCTCAGTGATATCAACAAGCGATTACCTGGTCCCCATTTCGATCCACCTTCTAAGGATTTAGTCCAAAGCATTATGACGGTACTTTCTCAACAAAACGGCCAAATATTTCACATTTTAAATGGAATGATCATATATTATTATTGTTAATTTGGTTGTGTAATAATTAATAGGACTGCGATATGAACCTGGATGGAGAAATTGACAGAGAGGAGTTTGTCAAGTTTATTGAGCAGCTTTCGGCTGACACATTCGCGGTGGTGAGTCAGGGTTTGATCATTTCTTTGGTTGTGGCTCCGACTGTGGCTATTGCGACTAAAAAGGCCACTGAAGGTGTCCCTGGAGTTGGTAAAGTGGTGCAGAAGCTGCCTACTTCTGTCTACGCTTCTCTTGTCACTCTTGCTGTTGTATGGGCTAATTCTGATACAAGTTAAGCTTCTCAGATTAAATGTGTCTACTATTCAAGCACTGATTGTGAAACATAAGTGTGTG